AGCAAAAGCAATCGTTGGTTGTTCGTCAGGCGATCACCGTAAAAGACTCACGACAGAAGCCGCAAGGATTCGCAGCAAAAGCAGTCGTTAGTTGTTCGTCAGGCGATCACCCCAAAAGACTCACGACAGAAGCCGCAAGGATTCGCAGCAAAAGGAATCGTTACTTGTTCGTCAGGCGTGCACTGGATTTGTCTTAGTGATCGTGAGCTGTGAATTTCCAAAACGTTCTTGTTTATTTTCCGTGAAGCGTAAAATGTCAATATTATATCAGTTTTAGTGAATTGTGAAAAGGCCTTTTTATTTTCCGTGAAACGTGATCTATACCCCCAAGCACCCTCTCTACTAGTCGACGAACTGAAACGACGTTTGCAATTTTGTGTGGTTCTTGTGCACATACTGGGTGCACAGACCTTGTCAAGGCGCGTAATGAGGAACACAACCACTTTTGTTTGCGGTCATGTCTTTAGGCAGTGTCAAGTTTCTCATGGGTCAACATATCTCCTGACGTTCCAAAAGTCATTTGCGGCCTCTCGTTAACATGATCAGTGTGATCTCGGATTATAAATCCTGACCCGGATCACCCCAAAGAAATTCGCCCCATTGGTCTTGTGTTAAGCGAGTGAACATGCCGAAAAAAAAAGGAGTTTTCGCCTTTGCGCCCGCCCAATATCACAGGCGACAAATGCCTGCCAAATAATCTAGCAAAATAATTATCCAGACGTGCGCTCTTTGGTCAAAGAATTTTAAACTGGCAGAAGTGTCCATTACGATACAGTTCATCGATAGATTATTCATTACACGACTCTAGTTAATTCACGGCACTAGCGTGCAGAATGAAACCGTTGCCTCAACTGGTAGGTCAACGACGAGTTCAAATGAAAGCTGTTTTGGATCGCGTTTATTACCGAAAATTCACTTGCTTGGCGCAATCAAACACATCGCGCGTTATGCCTGTCAAATTGTACTTTGGCAATATTTTCCGGACACTTGCTTAGTAGTTTGCTTTTCACAATTCTAAAACAGTGTTTTAGGCTTCGAAAGATCCTTCGGTTCCTGGCTCGGAAATTCAATTAGTACATGATTACACGCAGGACCTACAGGTCCGACCAGCTAGCCTTGTGAACTGAACACAACCAAAGGCGACAAATGATCTATTTTTGCTCAAAGAAAGCCGCACAGAAAGACGAAAGTTGTTTCCTTCTCGACTGCAAACTGAAGGAAAGTTTAAGAAGGTAAAATCTTGAGTTCTTTTAGCTGACAAAGATTTTAATAACGTAGACAATTTTAACATTTTACTTATTATGCCAAATAAAATACATTGCATGATTTAACTGCCGTTTCCGGTGAGCAACGCGCGGTAGTCCCTTGCATTCAATGTACCCAATAAGACTGAAAAAGAGGGCAAACAAGTGACCCTTGTCGTCCAGCATCTTTCGAAAAACTCCATCACGCAAAGTTGCACTGATTTAAAGCAATACAAAAGTGCTATGAGCGAGGCGTTGATTGTACAGTACATTGATCCCTTTAAATGTTAGGGAGCTTAGTCAGGTGTCTTTATCTTAGCATCAGGGAGGATAGTTGTATGACCAACAATACAGTCCGAGCTAGTGCATATAAACAAATATGCCTATCCTTTATCCGGCTGCTTTGTCTCTTTGGTAAGTCCTTTTCTCAGCGGAACTTAGATCTGGCAGATGTCTTCCCTTAGTCTCTTTTCTTTTTTCTCTCCAGCCTCTGAAATGACTCAGAACGACTGCAGATGTAAATTAACTCCCGGCAATCTTGAATCGCCGATACATTAATAAGTTTAGGGTCTCAAAATAAAAGCATTTCTCTCAGAGACAGCGAACAGTGTGGAATGAGTTCACCACAAGCATCTCTCTCAAAGCTCAAAGAGACAGCGAACAGTGTGGAATGAATCCACCCGACGGTCATTTCCGGTGAGCAACGCGCGATAGTCACCTGTTTTCCATAGGACAAACATTAACTCGTTATGCTAGTACTGAACCACGACTAAGGCATTTAATGTACCCAGCAAGACTGAAAACGAGGGCAAACCATTGTCCCTCGTCTTCCGGCAACTTTCGGGAAATTTTCGATCAGGCAAATTTGCAGATTTCTAGCAACCCAAAAATGCTGTGAGCGAAACGATGAGTGTATGGTACAATGAGATCACTTTACTTGATTAGTTTAACATCAAGAGAGAAAAGTTGACCACCGATGCAGACGACTAGCGCGTGTAAACAGAACATTATGCCTACCCTTTATCCAGCTGCTTTGTTTGCCTGCGTCAAGTCACTTTCACAGCAGATCTCAGATTTCGCAGATCTCCATTCTTTCCTTTACCAGCGGAGCCCTCGAAATAACTCAGAATGACTGCAAAAGAGGAATGTACTGTAAATGAACACCTTAGAGTCTAGGTTCATATGCCGCCGATACCTCTTTGAATTTAGTTGTCTATAAATGAAAGAATTAATGGAAAACAGACAGCGAACAGTGTCACTGATTCCAGTACAATGTACCATCACTGCCCCGTGTGCAAGCAAAAGAATTACAGGAATGAATTTACCAACCTTTAGTTGCTTTCCATTGTTTCTTTATAACTGCTGACTGTTTGCAGCACAATAGCGCCAGCAGCGGTTTTCTGAAGTGACGGCTTCTTCACGCCTTTGGAGCGACAAACGATCGGAGATTCTGGAGATCGGCCGTGTTCATTGAAAGGAACGTTTTTAACGGATTTGACCATTCGAGATACCAGTGTCATTACGTCATTGAAAATGACAGCTGCTGGTGTTATGCAATTTTTACTGGTTGATAAAAAAGATAAACCGCAACAATCTGATAATGGAGCCATCATTTTCGGGCATGGCATCACGCGCGCGTTGATTTGCATTATTTTGCAGCGCGTGGCGCTGGGAGTAAGTACGACCGCTTGCGGTTTATCGTCTCGCTGCGGAAGACTTTAGGACGGAAGCAGTTTAATTGCTTGCTTTTTCGAAAAAGTCACAGCCAGGAAAAACAAACAAGTCACGTTTTTTCCAGCTAGGGACAGTGTTTTAAATCAGTTTTTAGCCAGCCAGACGCTGAACGAAAATCCCAGCCAGTAAATGATCTAATGCTAATATTTCCCAGCCAGCGTAATTGCAGCCTGTCGAGCGGGTTTTCTGTCGAGCGGCTCCGTCGGGTACTCCTGCCGTGTTCTCACAGAAATTAAGCTTGATCATGTATTTAGAGCACATTCCAAGGAGAATTAGACTTATGAGATATTCTCATTCTCTATAAATTCTGACTCGCACAGACACACAAAATTAAGCTTTTTCTGTTACTTGCTGTGCACGTTACGAATGACCTCTCAAATGCAGATTCGAGAACGGAAAGGATAAAAAATGTAAGTTTGCGACCTTGTTGAATAGTAGAATACGCTTGAAACACTACTCGGACTTCAAGATCACTGCGAGCACATGCGGCAGTTTGAAACCGGGCAGTACGGGGTAAAATGCAGACTGAGGTTGAAAAGCAGACTGCGGACCAGGGATAAAATATAGAGTGCTGACTGCAGACCTTTGAAGTAAATATCGTTTCATTTCCATTATCGAACGCTAACCGTAAAAAAGACTAAGCTAAGCGTTATCCAGGGTAATCGGAGTTAAATTCTGCGCCTGGTTAACCTGAACAGTACCGGGGTTAGCCTGAATGTCACTTGGGTTTGCTGTTTACAGTTAGCTCTCGATGATGAATCGACTCAAAAGTCTCAGTCTTACACGTCACACGATACTTTTAAAAAGCCTGTAGCTGTCTACAATTTATACTCGGGCGGAATTTTACCCCCGGTATGACGTATGAAGTCCACAGTTAGCACTAATACTGCTCCCGAGGGGAACAGTGAATTTCGTTTCCATCGAATCTCAATGTTTCCCTCGAGGAAGTCGAAAGGAAACATTGAGATTCGATGGAAACAAAATTCACTGTTCCCCAAGGTACTAGTCATTAAGTGATTTGTCTTATAGCAAAACAAAACAAAAGCAAATTTTGGTAAACGCACTAAGATTCCAGCGACAACATCGGGCCACCTTCAACTGCTCGCTCTGATCACGTGCAATAGCAGTCAACATTTCGCGGGTAATAGCGAACTGTTTCCCGTTTGACGTCATAGTTTTCGCCATGTTGCCCGCTCATGACATGTAACGGTAAACAGTTTCATTGTTTGTGTCATGTGACCATGAACTAGCCAATGAATGGGTGCGCTGTAGCGGAAAAAACGCCAGCTATATAACAATCTGCGTCTTTGACTAAACCCCGTTCATACTTCGATTCTTCTAAGCTGCCGGCCTCAGTCAGTATAGTGACTGAACTAATTACTTAGCCGGAGCTTTTCTGTTAAAGGACGTGTCAAAGTAATCGCATGACCCTCGAACCGTTGATGTCGAATCCCCCCCGGATCAGTTTTCATAAAATGACGCAGTCATGCCCTCTGCACGCGCAAGAACTGTCACCATAAGGGACCAAAAATGGTTTACATTCCTTGAAATCTAGGCATTTATTTGCGTTAAATGACGCCTCTTACCTTTTTCCATCTTGTTATGCGATGTTCTTCGCTTAAATTCGTTTGAATTAGTAAAATGGCTGCTAGCAGAACGGAAACCATCGAAGAAATCGACGATATATCAGAAATGTTTCAAGCGATGGCGGCGCTTGGTATATCGTGTAAAGGACTGAAAACATTAGATCAGATGAAAGCTAAAGTGAAAGAAGAATTAAATCCGTCAGAAGATAAGCCTAGCTGGACGGCAGGACAGGTAAGAATTCTCCGACTCGAATGTAATTAAAATGTTATAAATTAAGATAACACAGTTAGTGACGGAAACTGTGTTTCGCATTGATGTCAACAGCAAAATCGTTTAGCAACGTTCACCAGTTGCAGTGAGATAATTGGCGTTAAACACACTGACTACCTCCATAAACTACCGGAAAGTGACGAATACCATTCAAATCAGGAATCGTTTAAGTAAAGGAGTTTATTTTAGGGTATTAGATTTGGGTAACCGTTTGGATAGGCCATGCTGGAAAGTGTTTTGTCCTAATATACGTTGTTGGCTTCGCAAGTGGATCCAGTAATGCTTCGAGACGCCCCATTAGATTCTAGAGGCTGCATGACATGTGTTTTCTCCCTAATGCTTAGTGCATAAAATTCGTTGTCAGGATAACGAAATACCAGTTTGTGCTAAAAACCACCTGAACAATGATACTAATTTCAGACTGCAGTTGTTTCCCAGAAGCAAAAAATAGTTTTCCACGAATGTAATTGAATCTACATGTACATGCAGTAAATTGAAACGTGTCAATGACAGCTGGATGCTGATTTTAAAAGGGAACTAGCTTTTATACGGAGACAGTTTGGTTTATTTCTAAGTAACTCTGCTACGAAATTGACAAAAGTGACTTGATACAAAACCTCCACATAATTGTAAGCTATAATACTCGTCCCAGTTACCGGCGTGACACGTTACTGCGGATCATTAGATATGCATCCCGATCATAACACAACCACTGAGTTAAGTTGTCGTTCTCATCAATGTTAAAAATTAATAACAAACTTTATAAGCAAACCGTGACGGCGACGCCAACGGCAATGTCACCAAACAAAAGGTTTAATGAGCAAAAAATGGCTATAGGCACGTGATTTACATATAAAATCTTTGTCTATTAAGGTGCGGTACTCTGCAAAGCAGCTTCGTGAAATGGCTAAGTTCTGCTCATAATTTTCAGGGAATATGAACCGTATCTTTTTTTGAAACTGAACGCTCTGGTCACACATGTAGTCTGAGCAAGTTTTTAGACAGATTACAGATAGGAGTACTGAACAGATCTAGACAATAGGTCACTTTCGACATATTAAAATTCAGCTTGATGGTGAGGCCTAGAGGACACAAACAAAAGAAATGAATAAACAGGTCATTCAAGTCCCTTATTTTTATATCGAAAACAGTCTATTACAAAATTCCAAGGTAAAATTTTAATCCTATTATCAGTAGACGTTGTCCTCGGCATTGCTTAAGCTCCTTATTGAAAGATGGAAGGAGAAAGCTAGTATAACCTGTATTGCAGGCCTTTTTTTCGTTGGTGAGAGGCAAATGTGTGATAATTGGCTTGTGTGTTAATCCGCTATCATGGGTTAAAAACGTAGACTATCGAGGTTACGTTACGCCAGTCTTGGACTCCTAGGACTCTCCCAGTACCTAGTCATTTTCTTCAATTCTGTCACACGTTTAGCCCTCACCTTCCCAAATAAACCTTTACTGCGGGTCTTTGTGAGTTCGAAAATGCACTGAATCTGTAGCTCCTTCCCACTAAATCTAAAAATATACTCCAACACCGCAATGAAACGTACGTAGCTTCAATTGATGCAATGTTGGATATGATGATCATAACGAGACATCAGCATCAATTAAAGTCCAATCGCCTGCGACAGACTGAAAGAGCAAATACAAATCAAGAACGCGTTTGATTTGATCAATGAATCACATTTGCTTTCTGGTTTTAGGCCTTCTCCATTTTAACAGAAGCAAGAGATGACGATGTCTTGAAAAGACAAACTTTACGTAAACTTTACTCCGATACCGAGGACTGTGTGCAAAAAATGGATGACAAAATTCTCGCTTTGCTGCAGAAGACCGTGGGCAGCATTAAAGAAAAGATAGAACATCATCAGGCACAACTGAAACGGAAAGAATACTTCCTCCTAGTGGCAGGTAAATAACACTAAGCAATAGTTTAAGAATTGTTTAATTACCAACTTCTTCCAGAAAGGATTCCAAAATTGGCATTCACACAACAAGAATTTCGTGACATCGAATCGATTGTAACTTACTCAATACTAGGCAAGTCACATAGCTTTGAACTTGTCAGTACACCATGTCTAGAAGTATTCCTGAACCTACATGTAGCAACTTGCAAATGGTTCCAGGCCTGTAAACAGCTAGTTTCTGATAAAAATGGAAAGATCTTAAGTGCAATTGAAAGTTCTAAAAAACAGGCAACACCACAAGCATTTCGTGAATTTGCAACAATTCCATCAAGATTTCACATATGTTATTCCGACGAATCGCAATTAACGTTAATTTAAACCACTAATTTAAAAAAGACTATGAAGGCCATCCAATAATAGGTGGTTAATACATTTGAAGGGGAAACAGGCTCTGGAAAAAGCAGCTTGGTTAACCTTATTCTGGGGGAGGAACTTCTTCCATATTCCGTACTCAGCACAACGTCCACCATATGCGAATTGAGATATGGAGATCAACCAAGAATCGTGGTTCACTTTAAGGACAAGGATCCTCAAACAAGGCTTTCAATTAAGGAGTTCCCTCTAAAGGATGAACCCTATGAACAAAGTTATCTTCAGCAGATCTCTCCCTATGTTCACGTGAAGAGTGATCGAGAAAAAGGTTCAATTTACAAAAAAGTTGAACTCTTTTGGCCTCACCAACTTTTGAAGGTATTTATTAATGACGTGATATAAAATTAGTCCTTTCTCATCAGTTATGTATGTCTGTATAGTTATAAAAAAATGTATGTACCCCACAAAGCAAACAGGTTCCATAGAACCCTTGTGCTCCACACATCCCATCAGCAGCTGAGCCATGTCATCACGTCATCAACATTACAGCACAATTAAAAATGTAATATCTTCCAAATGAATCGTCAATAGTGAATACACTTGGAAACATTGAAATAATAGATCATTTTACAGTTGGCTTAGTGACCTGGCCTTAGAATGGCAGCGAGGCTGCAGGTGACTTTGTTTTGATACAGACCTCACTACTTTTTTGTGTAAATCAAGTTGTTCTTTTGCTAACTAGCTAGTTGGCATTTAAATAAGAAAAGCAGAGAGGTCTGTATCAAAGCAAGGTCACCTCCAGCCTCGCTTACATTCATGGCCAGGTAATTAAGCACACAGCTGTAAAATGGTATATTCTAAGTTTTTCATAATCTACACATTTTGTTGATCATCTCGAATGCCATCGTTGCTTCGTGAAAATAATCAGCGAAAAAATGGCAGCCCACTTTTCAATTCAATATCTTTCAGAAAGGCGTGGTTATAATTGACAGTCCTGGTATTGGTGAGTCTAACATCATGGACGAGATAGTCACACAGTATTTACCTCAAGCCTTTGCGTTCATTTATGTCATAAACAGTGCAAACGCTGGAGGAGTTCAGAAAGACAGAGTATGTATTGTCGTTGGATGAAAGTAGTGAAATTACTGAGTATTTGTAGTAATGCTATGTCTTCCTCCAATCGGCACATAAAGATCGCAGGCTTCAGAGCTAGTGCCTCAGGGATGGGTTCCAATGCAAGACCCATCCGGGCTCTAGAACGAGGGGAGCCCAGGGCGTCAGGCTCTAAGCCAAAAGCTTCAGAAACCCTGGTTTCTACGGTATTCTTAGCGTCTCCCTTGATGCTTAAGAGGCTGTCTCTGTAAAAACCGACCACTGAATTTACTTCGATCCTTGTAGCGATCCTTGAAACCTAAGTAGCATTAAAACTGCCAGCTTTTCCCTTCAGCTGTAGGTTTGTATACAAGGTACATTTATACGTTCCTCATCTGTGTCGAACCGGACGGTGACATACTTCGATGTTCTATGTATTACTGACCATTGTTTTCCTCGAAGCTGGTTTAATCCTGTAAAGTCCTCTTGAGAGGTTTGTAGAAGCACTCTTTTGGACAACTCTCGGGACACACACATGTATGAAGAGTAAACGGTGATCCGGGGATCCAAGGAAGGATCGATAAATGCCACGGTCATTTTGTGTTAACAACAGGTATTTTAGTTCCCAATCTTCTCGAGAGTATCACATCACTGATTCCCGTGATACTCACGGGAAGATTGGGAACTAAAACACCTGTTGTAAACACAAAATGGCGGTGGCTTTTATCAATCCTTCCTTGCATCTCCGGATCACCGTTTATTCTTCATACATGTATGTGTGCCGAGAGCTGTCCAAAAGACTGCTTGTACAAACCTCTACATGATTAAACCGGCTTCGAGGAAAACAATGGTCAGTAATACAAAGAACATCGAAGTATGCGACCGTCGCGTTCGACACAGATGAGGAACGTTTAAATGTACCTTGTATACAAACCTACAGCTGGAGGGAAAAGCTGGCAGTTTTAATGCTACCTAGGTTTCAAGGATCGCCACAAAGGACCAAAACTTTAATCTTGAAGCCAGGTAAGAGATTTACGTGAATTTATCGGAGCACTTTACGGAGGCGAATATGTTAGTTACCCACTGAAGTATTTTCAAAATTTCCTGAATTTTAAGCGGTCGTTAGTTTTGAAACCCTAGTGGGCAGACGAATTTTATTGTTGTTTTAAATTAATGTAGTTCAGCAGTTTCAAACAGGTGCCACATTTTTAAAACGTGCCTTCAAAGTAGAGCTATTTCGTGTTTGGTTCAAAACTCGATTTAACGCGCAGAAAATCTTCTTTTAACCGTTGAAGGAACNGGTGCCACATTTTTAAAACGTGCCTTCAAAGTAGAGCTATTTCGTGTTTGGTTCAAAACTCGATTTAACGCGCAGAAAATCTTCTTTTAACCGTTGAAGGAACAACATTGAATGATAATTGCAACGTGGCTAAACAAACTGCTATGATATATCTATAGTTGAAAAAAAGAATTGGGACTTTTGAGCGAATATTTTTTTTTTTTTTTACTGAGAACGCCGGCAATATGTGCTATTTTTCCAGTTTCGGCAGGCAAGCAACTTGTGCCGAGCGGACCGAACTTCAATCAGTCATAGAAAAATTCAGTTAGAATTTTTAATCAAATAAAACTCATTTTAGTGATTGACTAGGTAAGGGCTTCGAAATCCCAGCTTATGAGAAAAATCGAATTTTCGAAGTAAATTCAGTGGTCGGGTTTTACAGAAACAGCCTCTTAAGAGTCACTAAATAATATTTATATACGAAGACCTGATTGATCATCGCAGTTATACACACAACTTAAGCAGTTGTGAAATTAAAGCCTAAAAAAAATTCAGGCCTGAACGGGATTCGAACCCATGACCTCTGCGATACCGGTGTAATCCTCTACCAACTGAGCGAACAAGCCATCTGGGAGCTGGTCAGTGTGTGAGCTCGTAATATACCCGTAGATGATGAAGAATACTGTTGACCAGCTCCCAGATATACCTAAAGCTGCAGCGCAAGCACGGTATTTTGTGACTAATCACACTTGCATTACAGTTATATACGTGTTTTAGATACCCACAGGCGTAATATTCCATTGAACAAAAAGTGCCGGCATGCTAAATTATGTTATTTTTGATTTGCAGCTTGAAAAGCTGCTGGATGACGTAAGAAAGGTGACTCTTGAGGGACAGAAAGAATCAGTGGCATCCCAGTGTGCTTTGTTCGTATGCAACAAATGGGACCAAGTTCCGGAGAAAGAAGTAAAAGAGGTCCAGAATCACGTGATCAAGAAGCTGAAGAAGTGTTGGCCAGGTCTTGATCCCAACTCACAGATAATCTATATGTCAACAAAAAACGCCAGTGTTGCTCAGAACCACGGAGTAATTACTGAAGATTTTTTTTCCCTGATGAATGGCGTGAGGTCGATGGTTTTGAAAAGCATTGAAGCCCGGCTGGAAATGCACTGGAAGTAAGCATTTTAGCATTTACTGTTAAGTTGTCAATTTTAAAAACCAATATGATAAATTACTAGGATATAAGATTATGATATATTAAACAATTAGATTGTGAGCTCGAGATTTCTATCGCTTGATAGTTGACGAGGGTGCAGCCCGAGTCAACAATCAAGCATAGAAATCGAGAGCGAATAACCTAATTGTTTTCGTATAAATCTAGTAGTCGGTCCAAATTTTATCGTAATCCTCTTTACCGACACCTCGAAAATATATAAATGTTGACCAAAAACATTTTGTAGACATCCTCTCTAGATAAATAATTAGCAAGGTGTGGTGCAATTTAGCCAGGAAACATACTAAGACTGTTAAAATTTTGTTTACGTTTTCGTTAACCGAGGTTTGTGTTGTGATACATTTTAAATAACATTCTTCG